AGGGAGGCAGAAAGGCTCAGCAGTGCCCACTTACAGCTGTTTCTGAAGGGCTGGTGCTAAGCTGGACCTTTCTCAGCTGTATTCCTTCAGAGTCCTGGCCCTGTGCCTCACAGGTTGTCCTGCACACTGCAGAGGAATTCTATGGGATTTGTTTAGGAGTTTGGATTCCAAGCAGTTAAAAAATGGTGCAATGCTCCGTCTTGCAGAACTTAAAGTTTTTTGTTCTTGAATATGACTCTGAACTGCTGTTGGCCCCTAGGAACATACCAGCTAAGAAACTGCAGTTTAGAATTGCAAATCAATTGCAAATCATTAATTACTCATTCTCTTTGCTGCTTTATCAGGAAGACTTGATGGTACTTGGTAGTGCAGGACCCAAACAGAGACCAATCATAGTTTTATTTCCTGATTAAGTCTCTGTTCCTGTGTGCTGGAAATCCATAAACCAATGTACTCTCTTCTTTATCCTACCACAGGCTCTCCAATTCTGAGCATGGTAAATCCATCCCAGGTGATTTAACTGGTAGAGGGTGTACCAAGACCTGGGTGCTCCAGGTGGCACTTTAAGGTAGAAGTAATGTTTTTACTCAGTATAGGTTGTTCTGAAAGTGAAGATTATCTTTGTACATAATCTTGCAAAAGTACCACAGAATCAGTTCTAGCCTACTGTATTTACGAGCCTGCACAATAGGAGCTGTGTCAAGTGGAAAACATTACTGATGGGAAAGATTCATCCACCAATATTTGAACTAACAAGGATTTTTACTGTAAGAAAGAGGGTGCTAGAAAGAGGGTACTGCAAGAAAGAGGGTCCAGCATAACAGGATTATTTCAGCAAGTCCTATTTCTCCCCACTATGGTGAGATCCAATACCCTGCAGTCACTGCTAATATACACCTCATTTTTGTCTCCAGACTGCCTCTGGGGCAGGTCTTAGATATGCTGGGGCAGGTGCCTAAATCCCAAAAGCAGTTCTTCCTCCACCATAATGATAATTATGCCTCGCTAATATTCAAAATATTGATCTTTAAGCCCTTCCAAATGCTTTAGATAAATGATCAGTAATGTTTGTACACCATTTTTAGTGTGGTCCTTGTATTAATAGCCAATATGTTCTTTCAGCTACAGCTCCCGTGAGTCAGACTTGTCCAGTAACCAAAGGCAGAATACAGGCAGTACAGTACAGCACAAAGCAAATGCTGTTAGAGGTCACACCAAGGATAACGCAGGACAAACAATTGGCTCAGGAGCTGGAGAAAAGCATCATGAAAAACAACCAAGTGTGAACAGGGTATGTAGCAGAACAGAATATTCATTCCCCAATTATTATGACACTGTTTAGACTGTTTACTATAAAACCCATGATGTACTAAGATGCACATGTTTTCCAAGAAATAATGTGTTTGTGGTAACAGTGAATGATGATTGCCTTGTAACAGTGCAGCAATTGCAAGATGCCAGAATGTAGACTAAGGAGGTTGAATTTATTTAACTTCTCTCAGGTAGACAAGGAGTCAGATAGAGCAGCACCTTAGGCTTTATATTCCAAATTGCTAATGTCTTCCACAGAGTTAACAACAACCACTAAACTCATTTTAGTCAGCAACTGGAAAAGAGGTAGTGATTGTGAGAAAATGTTAGTCCTTAGATCTTGAAATTGATGTCCCTAATTTCTTGGTAGAGATTAGACAACAGTAAAACGGTGTTTTTAATCTCAAAGCTTCCCTAAAAATCTACTAACAGTGAAACGCTATAATGAAAATCCATATCATGCTGATTACATTGTCAATAGTAATGAAAATGTTTCTGTTGGTCTTCAGGGAAGTGGGTTAGATGTTGCAGCATCTCTACATAGAAGTTGCCAGCTAAGTGCATTTTTTTCCTGGAGACCTGCTAAAACCTAACACGACAGTATGTTCCTTCTGTGTGAGATGAAACAGCGACACTGCCAGTAGGAATATGTCAACATGGTAAATTTTCGCCTCTCTGGAAGTGGGCAGCTTGATGATTGCAGCCTGACTGTGACACCAAGGAACATTACTGTCGGCTCTGCTACTTCAGACCAGAGAGGAAATGTAAAGGTATGCCAGCCTAGGTAATCTTTTATGTGATTTTAAAATTCAGACAGTATTTCAGTCCTCTTGAAAGACGAACTGCATGTCAAAGATATCACTAAGTACTAAATAACTCTGTGATGGTAGGTGCTTTTACCACTGTTCTAATTTGGTTCCAGTAAAACAAATGTACACACTGAACAATTTGCATTTGCACTTTCTCTGTATTTCCTTGTTAGCTGGTAGGTCTCTTGAATTAGCATCTGCAGGCACATCTCCAGAAGCTGATCTGTCATGCCTATCTCCTTGCAATGGCTGCATTGCTCTTTTTGTGTGTCCATTAGAAGATCTGTCCCTGGGGGAATGCTGTGAGCATGTTTTCTCTCCTACTATTCTTATTTTTAAATTAATTTTAAAAGGATTTCTTTTTCTAAGAAAGAATATTAGAACAGAGAACATTAGAAATTACATTTTTCATGTTACTTTTCAAAGAATGCATTGATAATCTCATAGAAATATTTTGTTCTTCTGTGGAAGTTTACATTCACTATTCTCAAGTGCTGTAAAATTGCTTTCTAATGTATGTCTTTACATGAACAGATTAGCACAAATGTAGGCCTGGTGGATGGACTGACTTGTGTAGACCCCTGCCTATGTCTGTCCTGCACCATGCTGGTGAGGACCAGGGGGGACTGGGGAGTTTAGGGGATGGGGACAGAAAGTACCAGAGTGAGGGAAGGAGAGGTGTAAAGTTCTTCCCAGCTTTTCCAGAAACTACTGATGTCTTCACGTCAGTGCCTTGCTGAGTGTGAGTGAAGATGTATTGCAGGAAGCAAAGCTGAGCAGGCGCTTTTTAATTCAGTTGCAGTAAATGATGTGTGGTGGTGGTATGGCCAAGTATGAACAACTTGAGGAGAGTCTTCATGGTCCATGAAGACGGTTATGTCTATGCAGCCCCCATAAAACTTGGTGCTCTTGTTCTTCAAGGAAAAGCCTACGTGTCTGCAACATGTCACTCAGGGCCTTACATACACTTTTAGCTATAGAGTATAGGAGTGACAATGTGCTCCTAAAAATGGATTTTGGCAGCTGAAGTTTGAGGAGCTTGATGGCCAGAAGCCACCTCATCCTGTAACAGGAGGCATTGTAACCACTGAGTGGATCACACTTCTTCAGTAGCAATTTTCTCAATGGAACAGCTTGATTTCCTCCCACTATGTTTGTAATAGGTTAAGACTAGGGACAAGAAATAGACTTTATTTCAGCAACCACCAATTCAGAAATCTTTTTTCCATCTTGTCTGTTGCTGCTGTTAAACCTGGAACTCATAAAGCAGCAATAATAAGGCTAGGTTTTTGAAGTAATATATAACTGCTGAAGGTGTGGACCCAGATAGGTAATTCAGACATAGATAATACTATTTCTTTGCTTTATTAGAAGCTGAAAAAGTTTGAAAGTTTCTCTCCTACTGGTCTTCTATTCAGGGGAACTGTGTCTACTGGAAACTGGCTTGGATAACTCCTGATCTTCCTGGGACTTTCTGTATTTCCTTTCCAGTTTTCCTTAATTCTCTTAAATTTGTATGTGTATGGTTCTGAATATTCACAACTGCCCTACTTTTTCAGGATTTGTTTGAGAACTTCTACATTGTACTCCTTGTGTTGCGTGTTGTCAAACAGACTGAACAGAAACTTCCTTGTTCTTGCTTAGCATAAGTTTCCCTTGTAAAACTCAGACAGTTCTGAATACTAGCAACCTGTCACTTCTCTACATAATTTAGAAAACATCACCAAATTTATATAAGCTCCTCTGGAATTTATGTTAGCTTCTCTGAATTTCCTTCTGGTGGTTCATTAACTGGGAATGAGAAGACAAAAAAAAACAACCCAAAATCTACCCGACCAGCAAAACAAAACACCCAAACAAAATCTACTAGCCTATATTTATTTCTTGTACATATTTTTTCCTAGCACCTGACTTCTTAAAGTACCAACATTTTAATTGTGGGTTTTGCATATTTATATATCATCATGAAGATAATTCCCGATGTCCAGAACCAAATCTCAAACTCTTATTCTTTTTCATAATTCTCATGAGACCTCACACACTGGCATTTTCTATTATGGATCTCCGTTTAAAACTACTCTACTCAACTTTCAGCTCACTGCTTTTTTTTGGTCCAGTAATTACTTTGAAAGCTGGTGGCCTCTTTTTGTTTTGTGGCTTCTTCCTCAGCATTATCTCTCTAAGCCTGATCCTTTACCTTTAGTAGGTCCAGATCTCTGTAGCCCGAAAGAGATCATTATTCAGCTGGCAACATCCCTTTGGTTGCCTGGAAAACACTTGCTGTTTTTCCCTTCTTACTATGAGGAAATTAATCTCAACAATTTAATTACCTGACTGCTACCTATTACACTTTGTATCTTTTTTTGCTAAATGGAAGACTTAAAACACTATTTTCATTATTATAATCTTTACTGTGATCATAAAAAGAAAAGAATCATGCAGTTTTCTATGAAAACAGTGCCTGCACTGTTTTCCTCACAAGTAATTCTACAGTTTGTGGCATATTTTGAATGTTTCTGTGGAACTTAAGTGTTGATTGATTACTACAAGAACAGGATTTTTGGCAAGAATTAAGCTTAACATTGGCAGGTTGCTTGATAATTATTAGAGTGTGAAAACCAACACAAATATATTCATTATGCAGGGAGCTCAGTCCCAAACTATATTTAAAGTGATGCATTCCTCTTGGAAGAGTTTCTAGGAGCTGGAGTTATGCTACTTAATTTGAAATATAAAATAAGAATATGTATTTTTTGTAATACTTTTTTACTCCTAGAATATGTAAAAATAATTTAAACTGATTTCAAAACATATGTAGGATGTCTTCTTCAGCTACATTTGTTGCTAAACTGCTTCCTGTTCCTCTTCTTTCTCTATGGTGATTGTGCTAAGATATTGGAAGAATTTCATTTTATTTTCGTCATTATTGATTTAATTGTAATTTTATAGAGAGATTTCAGTGAAAAATAACCATTTACATTTTGGTAGAGACTTTTTATTAAGAAAGATGAAATATATTTAAAAAGTAAAGCTGGAAGTGTTTTTATCTTAAAATAGAAGGAAACTTTTCTTGTAAAATCTCAAGGAAAATATCATGAAATTAAACAAATTAGATATAAAACACTATCTACTTTTGTGATGGTATCTGCAGGAAAAAAAAAACCAAAAAGATGTAACATTGCTATCCAAGAGAAGTTCTAGTCTTGCAAACAATGGTTTTTGGACACAGAAATTCACTGCATTGCATTGTTTTGGATTCTGTTTGTTTGTTTATGTATGCTTTTTTGTTGTTATTTTTTGTTGTTTTTTTTTGTTTTTGTTTTTGTTTTGTTTTGTTACAGCAGCAGTTCAGTTTTATCCAGCCAAGCATAAATTCTTACACGAGGACTGTTCCCTCCTCTGATCTCCTCCACCTTCTTCTGTTCTGCATCTTCTGTCTCCCCCACCATATTGTAACCTGATTTGAATGAGGAAATAGGGATCGTTAGTAGTTATTTAACATCTCTTAGAAGACTTTCTTGGAAGGAGTAACTCAAACTTTGACATCTAAATGACATTACATTATAATTATCAATGTCTAAACTACATAATGTTGATGCCACTGCAAATCAGAAACTACCACTGGGAGAAAAACTCGTACAGATGGAGAATAACATGCTCCTAGAAAACAGGATTCTCAGGATTCAGATACATAGGGTGTAGTAGGTACTCAGTGAGGTACTATTTTGAGATTTAATAGTTCAGTTGTTTCTTGTGATATGAAAGAGTAGATAAGTAAATATAGAATTGGCTTGTTATAGTGGCATTTATCTCTCTTGTACCTTGCACAAACAGTCCAGGATTTGGAAAGGAAAAATCTTGTCTGAATGTCTTAACATCTGGAGAATTCCAAGGCAATCTAGGTCAACATAGGGGCTTTAAAGCACATAGGCAAATCTGACTAGAAATAAAAAGATCATCTTGACATTGAATGTGACGGTTGTATGAACCAGTGAAAGCTTCTGAATTCATTAATGGAATGTATAGAAAGGTTTTGTATTTTCTAAATTCACTGGATACTGCTACACTTGCCCATGAAGATTTTCATTTGTATTTCCACCTTCATTTTAAAACTATATGCATATTTGCTTACATTCCCATGCTTTTACTTTGGATTTCCATGGCCTACCATGAGGTACCATCTTCAGAGCTTAGCTGAGTAAGTTATTCACACACATTCATTATGAATTGAATGCATTTGCTATCTGTTCAGCAAGAACACAGTTATGACATAGCATAATACACACCAAAGGATGACAGATTTGTTATAGTAAGAGCATATATTACGACTTGTACATACTTTTTGATTTTCAGACCTTGTATAAGTTAACTTACATATGTTAACCGTACAGTTCAGAAGAGTGCGTGATTTGACTTTGACTACAGAAAACAATGTTAGCTCTGAGGTGGGTTCAGCTTTCATGCTCAGTGTTGAAAATCTGAAATGTTTTTGATGGAGAATATTTTTTCATTGTTTTAAGTCTTAGAGAGACATACATTGCCCATCATATAACAAAAGCAGTGGATCAGCTAAGTGTGATTAAAAATTCGATAAGCAAAACTGACAAAGGCCCAATTCTCTTTTGACTTTATAGAGACATTCCTTTGACTTAATAATTTGTTCCCATATAACTGGGGGCAGGACAGAAGGACATACTGGGAATTTCATTCTCCTGCCTTCATAAACAAGGAACTGATTCTGACATAATGTGATTCTCACATAATAGATGATTGTCACTTGTGTTGCAAAACCTACTATTGTGTCCTCTTCTATATAAGGCTAGAACTGACCCAGTGTTTCTATTTTTAGCACTGAAATACAGAGCCTAATTAGTGATGTCCTTACACATTATTCCTATAGTGGAGAAATAACTCTTACAGAAGGCTTCCACTTTGTAGAGCATATGTTTATTTAGTCTTTCATAGTTATATTATCTAACTATTGCTTTTATGGTTCAGGCCACAGATTATTAATTGAAACAGTAAATTAAGCAATCATCTTTGGTTGCCATAGCAAAGCTACCCAAAATATAGTTGCTGAGGAAACCATACTGAGAATATACACAATAGATAACCAGATAATGTTGACATACAGCTTTAAGACTATGGTGATACAAAATATACTTGCATTCTTTCTGGGAGATTAAATACTGAATCTAATGCATGCTTATTCATTGCTTTTAGAAAATCTTCCTCCTGCATGTGAAGATAGAGCTTACTTAGCTACCAGATATGTTACTTCTCTCACTCTTTAAACTAAGTAATGGTTTTTAAAAATATTGCTTCATGAGGGGAAGAGAGACGCTTTGGAAAAAGATTCAGATCATAAATGGATGAAAAGGGAATAAAAAACATCTTGATGAATACTGCTTTTATAATCCAAAAAGAGCTCTAAAACTATGCAAAATAATAATAATAATTAGAAAATACAATTTTTCCTTGCTGCATTTGGTTGCTTTGTTTCTAATTATAAGAAAAATGTTAAAATGACCTTTCACTACCAGGATGGGATGTGTAGCATGTATTATACCTTTCCTGGCAGATTTCAGAGCCTCTCTATGTAACCTGTTTGAGAGCATTGTTCCTCCACTGTTAATAAGAGTTTTTCAGCGTCTGCCATGAACATTCATTGCTGCAGCTTAAGCTACTTATTTCTTGTTCTGTGCATCATGGACGAGGTATTTCATTCCTTTCTGCATTCAATCCCTCAATGTACATGAAAACTGTTCCCATGTTTCCAAATTAGTAATTACTCCTTTAAATAACCACAATCTTCAGTTTTTTTCTCAGTACTTTTTGTTTCATGCTTAAATTGCTACGACTTCCTTGAAAGTCTGTGCCCAGAAATGGATTTCATTTTCCAGATCAAACCAAATCCATGCTAGACAGAGCAAGGGAACTATTTTGTATCTTCACATATTCCTAATTATAAACCCTAACATATATAGCTGTCTTTTTCTTGGGAATAAGACACTGTTCATTCATGTTCAGCTTGTGATCCACTGTAATCCCAAAGACACGTTTTTGAAGAAGAGCTACCTAAATACTTCTGCATTTGTGCAGTCAGTTATTGCTAAGAATAAAAACTTGCTTTTTTTGCATTTTTTTTTGAGAATTTTTCTTGTTCTTCTGTTGATTATTTCTTGCTTGTTAATATTTAATCTCTAATGATGCTAGCCTTTTTTGTTTGCAGACCCTTTTTTATTTGTCTCATACAAATGTAATTGTAATTATAATTCAGTTCTTTTAAAAAGCTTAAGAAGCTTTTTGATTTAATCTTCAGACCGTTAATGAAAATACTTTTTGCTACTAAAGCCAAGATACACTACAGCAGAACTTCAATATACCCTTCTGTTTTTCACAGCTATCTACTGGCAGCTGTTAGCCTCCTGTTGTCCAGCCAGTTTTGCATCATGTGGTAGGACATCCAGCAAGACCTGTCTGTTCTGCTGAGTTGTTTTCCTTAGACATTTAGCCAGTTGAGACTTCCCTAAAAGGTCTTATGCTTAATTTTACTCTCTGTAGACAAAAAACCCCTTAAACTTATTCTCTCTTGGCTGTAATCAGCTGCTCCCCATCACTGTACTCCTGTGTCTTTTTTTTTCTTTTCCTCAACCTTTATTAAACCTTGTTTCACATTATTCAGCTTTCTCTATATTCTGGGTCTCCAAGCTACAAGATAGTAGCTGAGTGTAAGGGCAACATATCTTTGTTTGCTTGCTCTGCGAAAAAGCTATATCCTTTAATATTGATAACTGAGTCATCTGTGTGCTTTTCCACAGAATGTATGCTATGGCTGTTTAGTCACTTCCTTAATCATGTAGCAAGATTTCCAGCTCTTCTTATTTGGTTTCACACTCGTTGCGATGATATGCAGACAATTAGGGTATTTAGCAGATCAATTCATCATCCTCTCCCTCTCCTGTGCTCTACTATGGATAGATTTATTTTTTTCTTCTGTTTCCAGACTCTTCCCAAGGCTGACAGTGCTGTTCCTGTCTTTTGTGATAACCTCTACACAACAGATTGGTATATGACATGAGGAAGATTCTGCTTTTGCCCAGCATCACAGAGAAAATGACTGTGGAAGAAGTCACCTTCCTCCTGACAATGCCATCTGCATGACCATACATCTACACGCCCAACCTAAGCCCTCCCTCTCCCCCCAGGGACTTTACAAATATCAACCTGGGTTAAGCCAGGGTTCGTTAGGAGGGGGCTGAGGACATCGTCAGTACAGCCCAATGTCCTGTGGGGCCATGAGGCATGTGTGAAGCTTTGCTGGGAAGTCCACAAGGCAAGTCAGGGCTATGATCAAGGCCATCAACATCAAAGGCCAGGTGCAGTCAGAACAGCAAGGTGCCTCCAGCAGGTGGGGGCCTGAGCTATGTGCAGGTCCTACCATAGGTGAGGAGCCAGAGGAGGTTGGTCATGACCCTTTCTTACAGCGTGGCTGTTTTCTGTGACGCTGGATCCCAGGTTAAATACCCGCACTAGATCAGAACAGACCTTGATTACAAATTCTTAGAACTTGGAGGAGAATCATAGAATCATAGAATCACAAGGTTGGAAACGACCTATAAGATCATCTAGTCCAACTGTCTTCACACTACCACTGCTACCACAAGCCACTAAACCAGATCTCGCAGCTCCTCACCCAGACGCCTCTTGAACACTGCCAGGGATGGAGACTCCACCACCTCCCTGGGCAGGCCACTACAGGGAAGGTAGAGACAGCAGGTCAGTGATGGCCTGTTATTATTCCCATGTCCTACTGTTATTTATGGCACTGTCTTTAGTGCTCTTGTGGATGAGAAATAGTGGACACAAAAACCCTGCTCATCTTTTAGCTACATTCTCTGATTAACCTCTTGGAAGCTGACGCAGTTCTTTGATCTCCAAGTAATGCCAGAGTGAAGTAAGGGCCAACACCATGACAGGCCCATGTTTTAAAAAAATGAATTAATGCAGAAAACTAGTCATCCACAGATCAATAATTTTAACCAGAAGCCTCTGTAAGAGTTTTTAGGAGTCTGAGCTTATGAGGTTGTACAGATTTTTTGCCTTGATTCTCCCTAAGAAAATCCTGGATGGTCTGAATGGTTCTGAACTGTGTGAATGAGTGATGGATGAAAGATTCCCCAGGTACTATGTACAGAACACCACCACTGACCCAAATGGTTCCTTGAAAGCTATTCTGGTTTATCGTGTCAGTGATCCACAGATAATAGGTATCTGGGGTATTTCTGAACCAGGTTTTTCAATTCATAAGGCAGTAGGGATGCTCTGAATTGCCAAGTCTGGGCAAACTTTGTCACATCTTGAAGTGTATTTGAAGGGCTTAAAGCAATGTCTCACAGACTTTTATTGAACTTGTAACAGATTGAAAGGAGGAACAGTAAGGAAATGCAATGGTTTTGGGTTGGGGGAAGGCATGAGTGGGAGGAAAATCACGCAATGCTCAGCCAGATTCTTAACAGTAGAAACAATTTTCAGGCACAGAGGTAAAGAAAATGGTTTCACATTTTCAAGCCTTGCAATAGCTGCACAATGTTCTATCAAAGTTTCTGAATAGCTGCAGATTCACAGTAGACTATATTTACATTCGCCTGCTAGAGTGTGAAGTAATCACACGGTAATTTCATAAGCAAACTTAAAAACATTAACAGTTCTAATTTCTGAGTGATAGTATATTGATAGTTTTGTTTCATGTAATTAAAAAAAGGCAGAAGGAAAATTTCAAAGTTAATTGCCACACTTTCATATAATGATGTGTTATGGAAGAAAGAAACTTAGCCTTGAAAACTAAATAAAATCTGTCAGTCATGGAACTTGCTTCTGAAAAACGCTTACCTCAGATAAGACATGTCTGCTTGTTCAATCCAGTTAGCATGCTCCCCCAAAACCAGGGCTTGCCACATTATTTTTTTGTGTTCCATGTTTATGTGCTCCCAAATTTAATTCTTATATTACAAAAATGTTCTTAAATAAATATAGCAAATGAATGTATTGCTTATCATACTCACATTACTTTTTAGAGATAGCTGTTATGAATAAACCGTGGAATTAGAAAAATTTTGTCCTTTAGAAAAAGCCTATTCAAAATGTAAATTTTGGTGCATTATTTCAGGTTTTTTCTTTCTTTTTTTTCTTTTTTTCCAAACTCTGTATTTTCAGAAACATAAAATGCAATTAAGAGGTCTCACTACATTTTACCAACTTGTGGATGAGTGGTTAATGAATACTGTTCATGAATTGTTATTATTCACGAGTCCTTGTTATTCATGTTGCTTATTCAACTGGAACTAGATTAGTTCAGAACGTGGACTGAGCTCACCAGTCTTCAATGCATGCTGTGTCTTTGCAAACAAATTTCCAATTTTTGAATCATCCTTGTTGTGGTGAATCATTATGAATCCCAATGTGTTGCTTAGGCTTTACTTGGACAGCTTTTGGATACCCCTTCAGTATTTTAACAAGAAATGTAGTAACTATTATGCCTCTCAATAGCAAGTGACAATTCAACAGCATATTCCATAGCAATAGATACCAACTATTAGAAAACAGGATTGCTGTATTCTGTCAAGCTAATAATGTGAATAACAAGTGTCACTCTTCTTTAGTATCCAAAGTGGAACAGCATAGCTGGCACACAGTGCTTGTGCCTGGTCACACGAGACTTTTAGTTAACAGGTGGCCTGCATCAACTAAAATAGATGTGTTGGAAAGGTTGCATTGAAATGCATGCTGCATACCTCTTTCTTCTAATCTTTTCCCATTGCACGAGCACTTTCTGTTCTATTAAACTCTGTATTAAATAAACATTGTGTCCTGTAAGATTTACCGCAAGAGGAAATTATTCTCAGTTATCACATTACAGAAATGTAAAGCTATGAACAGTAATGTCAAATTATTTTTTCATGGTAAGTTTCTTCATGTGAGGCTGCACTTACCATTTTGCATTCATAGTTTCAAAAGTCGTGCCTCCATTACATTACAAGACGCAGGTGGTCTAATTAAAGTCAAGACTTATTAACAGTTGAGTGAGAAGATCAAATCATAAGGAAAGAAATATTATGAATAATATATAGTCATTTATATGGAGCAGAAGCTAAAATAGGTAGGCAAATGTTGAATTAGTTATCTCAAATTTATAGAGAGCACTTTTCCACTCTCCCGTTTGAACCCTCAAAGGACCCAGTCTGCAATACACCATTCATGGTTATTGTAGCATCTTTACCTTTTAATTTCACCTGTAGTTCTCTTATTCTTCAATGTATCTGTACTTAAAGGAATGTATAGGCTTTAAAAAAATTCTTTTCATATACATCCTAAACACTTAAATGCTACTGGAGGCTGACCTTAGGCAAAGAGTGACCTTAGGCTAGCATATGCTATGTGCATAGTTTGTTGGTGACTGACTGAGAAATAAATACACTTCAAAATGGAAACAAAAATAAACGCTTCAATGATGAAACCTCAAATTGTAGTAGTGTGCATTGGCATGCCATGCAGCCTGCACATATGTTGGAAATGCATCTGTCTGACTGTATTCTGAAAAGATCTGGGAAAAGAAGAGAGGCTTCCTCATTTTGTGGCGTGTTGCATCCTGCATCTATGTTTCACTGTGCCAGTTTCTGCCAGTCATTTTAGAACATGTGGCAGTGACAGGACATAGAAATCCAAAATGCCGTTGATAAGTCTCTCTTCTACTCTTTTTACTTAAAAAAAAAAAAAAAAAAAAAAAGTAACAGATGAGGTAAACATTTAAGAATGGGCAAAGTGAATTCTATAAAGAAAACAGCAATCAGTTGCATTCAGTGTCATGTTTTAGAGCTGCACAGATCTATTTCCCACATTTTTCCCCTCCACAATATTTGTTGGATGCAGTCCTGCAAGGACACGTTCAGCTGACATCTCATGCAATTGATCCAAATGTAACTACAGCCATAGCTGGCAGCATCAGTAAGCACAGGCATATTTGGTTTCAGAGTAAGACTTATCTTACATATCTTAGAAAAAACAATACATAACACAAAGAAATCCACAGCTTTTTGTATTCTTATTATTCCATTGGCCAAAGTGAGCTGGTGTTACTTTTTAAAATCAAATCAGAATTCATGCCACAAGACATTATGAATTCAATTTCTGATAGACTTATTCTGAAGGGATTTGGGGTGGAGGACAGACAGAGCAAAACAGTTTTAAGCCTGTTGGGAATTGCTTGTTCCCAGACCTTATTTACAGTCATATCGTATGGAAAGCTCTTTGAAGAGCTCTCCTAAAGGACTGAAATGACTGGAAATAATGCAAGCAGAGTCTGTATAGGAGGGTTTATAAGGACATCGTAAAGATACGATGATAATGGAAATATTATCCCCATGCAATGACCAGCACCATGCGGTGTTTAATATATTCTGTCATTAAAAGAATTTTTGCAAACCAAATTCACTTTTATGCATACTCCATATTTCCTTCAGCTCAGGCAGTGAAGCCCACATGGTTCTTTCAGGTAGTTTGATGTTCTTATGCCTGATTACAGCGCTGACTCGTTTATTCCTACCGCCCTGAACCAGGCTGTGTCTTTAAGGCACAGCCCTGAGCAAGATGAGCAGTGTGGGCTGAAGCACCACAAAAGCAGCCCTCGAAGGCACTGTGCCTCAAGGATCCTCCTCTGCCGCTCATATAAAAACAAGGGGCAGGAAGAAAATTTATATCATGTCTTCAAAAGTAGTATCTGTCTGCCTTTCTCACAGTGGCCAGTTATTTTGTCTATGGAGTAAGTGGGTGAAGACAGAGCACTTTTGAATGGTATTAACTTCTACATGCATTTCATTTCCCCTTTCCAAGATTGTTTACAAGCCCAGACCTGCTTTTAGGATGCTAGGACACTTGCTCTCCTTTTCACCAATGAAATGGAAGGAATAGGCTACGTCACAACACAATAAGTATTCGATGTGGGATAGAATAGGCCTTTTGGCCTCAACTCCCACTTCTAAATCCTATATAGGAACAATATGAAAAATATAGGAAATCTGAGCAATCAGTAAGAGTGCAAATGAGAAAATACCTCTAACTGCTGAATATCTTTGAGATGGCAAAGTCCTACAGGACTAGAGAGCAGTGAGTCTGATCCTTCTGAGTCTAAACCCCTCTGTATGAATACTGTGTCTAAGCAAGACCACTAAGGCCAGTTCCTATTTCTCACTTGTGTCATCTGCCATGTGGCCATGGAAAACACGTTGACCTCCCTTTTGACAAGAACTGTGGAAAAGTCTCACATGCATGCTACACATACATGGTACCCACTTCTGAAGAAAGAAAAGCTGGATTTCTAACTCCTAGCCTGCTTCCAAATAGACAGTGTTCCTCTCTGTCTCTGTCAGGGATTCTCAGGATGCAGTTGCCCAAAGCGTGGCTCACAGAGCCATCTGTGCTAGCCTGGATGGCAGAAGTGTGAAGTTATGCTACCCTGGTTCTCTTCCAGAGCAGATATATCCTGTTATTAATGAGCATTAAATATCCCATGTACAGTACTATAAAAACTAATGTTTAATCATGTCTCCTGCATGTGAGCTAACTTGGCTGTCTCTTCACAGCAGGGAGTT